GCTGACAGCCCACCCAATGGAAGGTGGTAAGTACTGTTGCCTATAGATATGAACAGCTCTATGGACATTACAGAATAAAAAAATTCATGTAATTTGTCTATGAATTATTTAATTGTCTATTCATGTATCTTATTTAAAAAAAAATAGCAAAATCACTAGTTAATAGTTTCTTTTCTTTGTAAAGAATAATTAAATATTGTGTTTAACAAAAAAAAAATTGACTTCAATTACTACCAATTCTGGGAAAAAATGGGTTCAATTTGTAAGTACATACTTTGGGATAAAAAATAATTTTCCAAATCGATTTATAACTGCGAGAGTTACGAAGTAACAAATATAAATTGAGAATCTCCACATCTTTGAAGTCGGCTAAAAATGGTAATGTAACTCTTTTACAAGGATATTTTGTTCTAATAAATATATAATGGTGAATCATTTTGAAAAAATCTCATTTTGCAGTTTTAGTATTGCGTTCATAAACAGTTTTTCGTGTTAAATAAATATTTGCTCGCTCGACATACGTTTATTTATGATTCAGCTAGAGATCTGGCTAACAGGATGACTAGTTTACTTACTCTTCGAAACACTAAAATAAACAAGATAATAACAACAATTTTTTATTTTTTTTTATGACAAACAAGCTGACCTGATGAAAACGGTCGTCTATGGACATGAAAAGCACCATACAGCATACAGATTAACCCATAATATAGTGTTATTATATAATATTAAGGTATATATTATATGTATTCTGTAATTTCAATTCAAATTTAATATTGTTAGTCTTAAAGATCCTATAAACGATTAAATAAGAAAAGGACTATGTACTTGGCTAGAGAGACCTGAAAGTATCCACACCAGATCCTTATAGTTATATATAAAAGACTAGCAAACCACTTTAGCTTTGCACGACTTTTTTGTGAATAAAGTACACTCCATGTTACTCTTGAGCTTTCCACAAATCAAAGATTTTTTAAATTAGTTAAGTACTTTTTGAGTTCGCCTATTACAATCAAAAGTTTCTAGTTTATAATAGCGGTTTGCTAGGCCGGGTCGCTGGGCTTCTCTATAATAGGGTTTTTTGATGGGTGGAAATGGTATAGTAACCCCGCCTGCGCTAACGGGATACGCTGGCGGACTACCAGTGAAGGGTGATAGATGAGAATGAAAACAGGCCAGTTAGCCCATCATGATGGATTCATCAGGAATTAACCATGATAGTTTCCAAGGGGAACCGTGAGGAGGTCGACCTGGTTGGGTATATTGTGTAGCAATGGGATTCTCAGTCTCCATTACTAACAATCCCTTTCCCCCCTCTATAATAGGGTTGTACACATCGATGGCTGGCTCATTAGTCATACTCGTGAACGGATGCATCAAAAAGGGACTGATTTCAATATTCAAGAATACTGTGATTGATTGTTGTTTTTTTTTAATCAACATAATGTTTGTGATAGTCATTTTACGTAAACTCAACATTTATTTTTAGCCGAGCTTCTTAGCAGTTCTTCTGGGAAATGAGCGGTAGATTCACAAAAAATTATTATTCGAAATATTTATTTACTGTTGTAATCAAGTTTATATGAATATTTATTTTTATTTTATTTATAATATTAGTTTAGATCAACACATATCAATGACACTAAAGGTTCTCAAAGTTTTCCTGGAAGGAATACCTTTCAAGGAGCATCAACATATATTGCATTAGTATAACCGGTGTGAAATCTCTGCTAATGAAGGAATCGATAGACATTAAAGATCCTTCCTCACTAAAACATTTCATAGGAACATGATAACGTTATTGTCGAAAGGAGAACTTTTGTTATATTCCATTTTGATGTTAAATAAAAAATTAGTATATATCAGTTATTTTCATAGTATCTTGTTTTATGAGATATTGTTGTGAGAAACGGCCGCTGATATTCGAAATATTTTTATTCTGCAGAGACGTACCATTCGAAATGAAGTCTAAGAAATCGTGTTTCACTGAGAAATAAATTAATAGTCTTACTGTAGCTGTACAATATGATATAATAAAATATATTGAAGTATATTAATACCAGAGGGAGACTTTGTACAGAAGTGTTTCTACCGTAAAGCAGTTGTGTTTGCATGGCTGTGTTTCGGTTTGAAGGATGGGATATGGCAGTAAATTTACAGGGCACAGAGGAATAATACCTGAGTTCTCAGCATAGTAACAGTCACTCATGCGAAACGTATACTCTGTTATGTCCATACTGCTCATGTCTATAACCGACGGTTACCACTTTCCATCAGGTGGGCCGTCAGCTTGTTCGCCATTCTAAGTTGCAAAAAAAAAAACATGCATGGGATTTTCGAATGAAGTCAATGAATATATTTTGTTTTACATACAATTCAATATAATATTTTCTATAGTAGACTTGGTTTATCTAATAATATAAATAAGTGTTGTGCTAGTATGTACTGACATAAATTTAAATTAATGAAATTACAGGGTACAGAGACATAATATCATAGGCCTCAGGAATGGGAACCTGTTATTACAAGCATTCATAGGCTACGATAAACCCGTTTATTATAAGATCAGCCGTATGCTTGATTGCCATTATAGTAGTATAAAAAATTACATAGTTATTATCTATTTTCAATAAATAAGTTCTTTAGTATATATAGAAATGCAAAGGAATAAAATTAAACGAAAAAAATCAACAGCGTCACAAATTTTCACATCGGCACAGCTTTACCCATTAAATGTTCATAAAATGGGTTGGATTACTTCACAGTCACATGTTCAAAATTATTAATGACTCCATTAGCCAGATTTATGTTAGTAAAACGGCATAAAATCATCCGTTACAAACGTTTGCTAATAATGACAGAATTTTATATAGAACTGGTTGATGCATGTGGATTTACACACGTGATATCATGTTCTCCTTTAAATTAGAATTTTCAAAAATTCTTAAATTTAAAATAAACCTGTTCCAAATTTCAACTTTTTAGGCAAGCGATTATATATATATATATATATAATCGCTTATTTGTCCACTGCCTCCTTCATAGACTGTCATAAAAAACCTTATAGCAGTTTACAATTGCCAGCAGTTGCCACGCTTGGCAGGAAGACTGGCAACCACAGTTTGACTTTTGATGATGTTGTAAAAGACACTGCTCTCTATTCCTCGATTCAATGAAATGAAATGAAATATTTATTTGCTTTAGACAAGCATTTGACATAATAAAGGGCAAGTGACAGAAATTTTTGGTATCTGTTGAATTGTCCTAAAATTTTAGGTATGAAAATTTTATGTAATAATTAAATTAAATTAGAATATTTAGCATTAATGAATATTAGAAAATACAAAATTTATTTCAATTGAAATATAGATTATAAATAAACCAATAAATAGGTCCAATATTATCAAATAAGATTAATAATTACATTTTATATGTTATACCAATAACATTATTACAATCCATTATAAGTATTATAGATTATTTGTATTTTATATTAGAAAAGACATATTATACATAATATTGCTATGACATGTATAGGCAATAAGGTTTTCACACTAGTTGCCAACCGAGATTACCAACCGTAGTCAGGCTTAAGAGATGTTTCAAGAGGGACACTGCTGCCCATCCCTCATTCTCCCTTAGTCGGTTCTTACGACACCCGCGGAAAAGGAAGGGGTGGCCTATTCTATGCCGGGACTACACGGCCAATATTACAAAACACGAAAGTGAATTTGTTTAGTACATTTTGACATCTTTACCGCTTAATCAATCGTCATAAAAATTGTTACACACGTAGTATTTTTATTCTGATCAATCAAGATATCTCGGTCACGTGGACAAAGTCGCCGGTAAAAACTAGTAGTAACACATCTTCACGAAAATAAACCGTTACAAAGAAGTAAAGTAGCAATAAAGTGGGGTCTAATGCTCAAGAGGTCTCAATGAGAGGTATAAATAACATTTAACTTGACGCTGACGGGTTCTAATGTGGATAATGCTCTTATTGTTCTACTTAGTTCAACTTAGTGTTGGGTTGTGTTAAGGAGGACAGTGCATTTGCGTGGCGCCATAAGTAGTGTCCGCTCTTATGTCGGCATAGTGGACTTGTCTTATTATCCCGGAAACGTAAGTAATTGTGCGAAATGGCTGGTCGTGGCAAAAGTGAGAAACTAAATCTGCCTACATATACATATACATACCCACATAAATTAGTATAAAACTATTGTTTGTGCTGTGTTGGATAGTGTATGAGTTAATATTGGATATATTACGTATGTGTATAAGCCACGAAGTATTTTTCTTCCACTTCGAGCACCTAAAATATTGACATTTGAGTATCATTGGCATTTATATTAGCTCGAAGCTCTACGTGTAATATAATAAAATGCATTTTATATCTCATTGAATGCGATGCGGAGGCTTTTAAAGATGTAGCTAATACGCATATATATCATCGACTTTTACTTATATTTATACTGTGCTGTCATATTATTATTTGAGAAACGTAAATAATTGTGTATAATGGCTAGTCATGGCAAAAGTGAGAAGGGAAATCTCTATTTGAATTTATTTCAATATAATTTGCTGAAAAATTAAACAAATGAATAATTTATTTGACTATTATTCTAATAAGACAGTCTGTTTATGTTTAATAGTAGTAGGTATAAATAAAGAAAGCAATTAATTGATTGAATTTGTATCGATTTGTTACTAATTTCATTCAAACAATGTCTCTATAATAATTTCATCAAAACTGGGTTACCTTTTCATTAATTTTTATTAAAATGAATTTTCAGAGATAATCTATTAAACTGTGTACCTTTTGATGCTAGATAAGTAATGTATTATGAATTTAATATCTAACATGACTATATGAATACGATAGCTGAATCCCGTGGCATTACCCACGTAAATTGTTATCAAACCATTGTACTGTGTGTTATATGGCCCGTCTATGCATTTTACTATCTTTGATATTTATATCGATTTCATTGTTTCAGTAAGTCCTACCGCTGCATATTAGAATCAGAAACGTAAGTATATTTAGCCTTATGTTAATTCACTTTTAACGATTACTTGAATGACGAGTTTGCAAATTGTTCAAAATGAAACTTTGTCATTTAATGTTAGTTCAGATTTTTATATAAATATATTTGTAAATAAACTTTTAAAAAAAAAAAGAAATTCAATTGAGTTTCTTTATATTCTTCTCAATTTTAGATCTATATACCGAACTTTACGGTTCAGATAAATATAAAATTATAATGTAAAAATTTGACGTTCATAAGCGTAAAATGTCCTATTGAATAAATGATTTTTTTTTTTTTTTTTTTTACGATAATTATGTTAATTCATTTTTAAGTCTTCTTTAAATTTTGTATAATGAACGACTTTGAAAATTGTATAAAAATGAAACTTTGTGATCTTTGTGGTTGTTTAGATTTTTAGTATGTTATATTTAACTACGCATAAACTTTTGAATGAATTAAAAATGGATGACATTTCTTTAAATTTTATTTTATAAATTTTAGAAATAATAAATAAGCTGCGAAAATTTATCCTAATTCAGATAAATCCTAAATATAGATAGATCTCAGTATGTTTATTGATGTTTAATAGTAATATGAATAAGTCGATTGAATATTTTTAATTGTTACTAATTTTATTTGGAAAATGTTCCTGCGATAATTTTTACAAAAGTGAAATGTCGATAATACATCTAAGGGCGAATCGATTTTGTTTTTTAATATAGATGATAAAAAGGCAAAATACAATAAGTGTCATTTAGTGAATTTTATATGAAACTAAGAAATGAAGTTAAATGACTGAATGAATACAAATTGGTAATATAATAAACGTTTATTAGGACGAAACCGTTAATATCACTATTTTTGTATTTTTGACATATTTTATTTAGCCCAAGAACTATCTAATATCTTTAGTTTATTTACAATAGAATCAATAAAATTACATCGTAACCTCAAGCTGAGCTGACCATTTATAATATTAGTGGGATTAAATGAGGTTTTTTTTTTGTGTTGAATGGTATATTTAATAAGTGAATCAGTTTGATTTCTAAAAATATAAATCAAACCAAAGTGTAAAGTAAAAAAAATTCTGTTGGCCATTTTGTAACTTGACTAAATGACAACCAGTTTGCATCATTTATTAAATATATCATTCTATGCAGAAAAAAAAAAACATAAATGAATCCTACTCATTTTATAAATTATGTTTTGATATTTATATTTTCGTTAGTCAAAATATGAATGAAATTTAATAAATTAGTTTTTATTATTATTTCATCAACCCCAAGTAAATGGAGTTTTGCCAAAATGTTTTATGATTGCCACGCTTTATGTTTATCGCACTCATAAAGATTCTATTTTATATAATGCAAAGGTAATAATAATATTTTTTTTATTATACGTATGTTTATATTATGTAGGTACACTAATGCCCATTATTTAACCAAAGTATTAGCCCTCATTTTGTTTATTTTTACGACACTTTCCCATAGTTTGGGTGGCCCATTCTAAATGCTTCGACACACACGGCAAGTTTATATGAATTTAGATTTATAATCTAACTTCTAGACATAGAACATTTTATATGAAATAAATCACGGTCAAGTATGAATCCATGTTTGTGATATATGCTAATAGACAATTTCTATAGTTCAAAATATATTTAATGCTTTTACATCGTCGATATTGTATGACGTGCGTTAAAGCGACTAGCATTTTTAGAACATAGTAAATGCGCCTTTAAGATGACATTGTTATTTTGATCATAAATAAATATGTATATATAAGTCACACCTACGTGTAATAAAACATCGTTAAGTAACCATCGAATTTGGACTATTTAATTGTTTTTGATGTTTTTATTTTATGGGAATAACTTAAAAAACTATAATATATAACTATAACCAAATATCAAAACAAAACTATAAGATTGATAATAAAGATTAAATATAGATAACTGATTGTTATTTATTGACATAATGAAAAATGCGTGTGCGAAAATATAAATCAAACCATTTGATTAAAAAATTATTTTATTTAATTGCTAAACGACTATCATTAGCATCATGTGTGTAAATATATCATTCCACTCAGAAAAAAAAAAAAACATAAATGACTACCAATTATTATTTTAGATATTTATATTTTTGTTAGTCAAAATATGAATGAAATTTAGTAAATTAATTTTTATTATTATTTCATCCTTCCCGATAAATGGAGTTTTGCCAGTAGTTGCCACGCTGATGGAAATTGGCAACAGCATCTATTTTAGAGATGTTTTAAGAGGGACCATGGACATAACAGTAAGTTTTTCATATTTTATGAACATGGCATTCTATGAAGATGCACACACGGTGATAAAAATGGTAGGCTATAATCTAATTGACATAGAACATTTTATATGGAAGGTTTCGGGGGAACAGCCTGTGATATATGACAATAGCTGCTTAATACATTTAGCTTTTAATTCGTCGATATTGCTCATGACGTGCGTTACCACGACTAGCCTTCTAACGCCTGGTGACATTGCTATTTTGATCAGAAATAAAAGTGAAATAAAGTTCACACCTACGTGTAATAAAACAGTCGTTAAGTAACCATCGATCTAAGTTATTTGATGTTTTTATTTTATGGGATGAAAATGGAATTGTAACTCTGCCTGTGCTATCAGTAAACGCTGACACGGTACCAGTGATTGATGATAAGTAAAGATGAAGTTAGATAACTAGTTATTTGATTGATAAGTGAAGACGAACGTGAAGCGAAGATTACTACTCATTTGATTAGAATTATTTTGTTTAATTGCGCCATCATTAGTATGTGTGTTACTGTCAACACTCGAAGTATGACTATCATTATTATTACCAGAAATTTGTGCCGAGCGGTCAATACAAAACTCCGAGTAATAATCTAACAATTTTTTTATATAAATTAGAATGGCAAGCTGGCGGCCCACCTGATGGAAATTGGCAACAGTCATCTATAGACATGAGCAGTTCCATGGACATAACAGTATACTGTTTCATGTTTTATGAACATGGCATATGAAGATGCCTAATATATATATATATATATATAAAGTAAATTGCTAGCAATTGGGTCGTTACCATTATTAATAACCGTTCACTTCAAGTATCTATTGTCGGCTAAATTTATGAATTAGTCATGCAGTATAAAAATTTCTTACTTCATATTATTGATGCGTTTATAAATATACAAAGGTCAGAGGTTTACTCTATTTTTAATTCCTGTGGGATGTTCTTACGTGATTTTTATTTACATTATTTATAAAGTGCCTACTAAACTTTAATATGGTACTATATCAAGATAATATTAAAACATTTTTGCAAAAATAAAATGTACAATATTGACAAAATTAGTGTAGGAAATAAATTAAGAATGTCTACTGTACGAGTATGGTCTAATTGAAACAGATAACTAAACTGCATTCACAACTCGACTTTTATGCCTAAGTAAAAGAGATGATCAATTTGAACTTTGAGTATTAATCTTTATATTTGTCTGAACATAAGTCTAAAGAACGATTAAATATTAAAAAGTAAAATAAAAGCAACAAAATAAAAAAAATAAAAAAAACTTTTGTAATTGCAATTTAATGAAACTGAAAAAAAAATTACTGTTTGATTTAACTTATTTTTTAATGGTCGATTTAAAAAAAAATGTTTCATCAAGATTGTTTACTAAATTGCTTAAGTAGAAAAAAAAAATGAGCAATATAAATGTTTTTAAATTACTCGTAGATTGCACTAGTATTTTTTAATTAAATAAAAATGATAAAATTATAGATTCTTATCAGTTCTTACATAATTGCTGAATACGTACCATTAAAAAATTTAAACAAGCTAAATAAGTAAATACAATATTGTATTATATGAGTACATTGTATCTATCCGCTATACCATAAGTGACTAATTACTGCCCATAATACTAAAACTGTGTTTAACTATTAGCTATTATTCCTAGAATAAAAACTGTAATATTAGTAATAAGTATAGTATTTTATGGGGGCAAATAACATTCTACTTTTATAGCGGTCTCTCATTGTATAGATATATTAAGCCTTTTATTAAATGGTTTATGACAAAACTATGGGCAACGGTAAGATGTTACAACTACTAAAATTGATCACTTCCATCTGTAATGAAGTATCGAGGTTAGCTCTGGTCGAGGTTGCGACTTGAAGTGATTTTATTGATTATGTATAAAACCAAAGATATTGGATAGTTCTTGTTCTTAAATTAAAATGCTTATCTCATAGAATAAAGATACCTAACCTACCTAAGTAACTGTGGTAATTGTCATTCTCTTTCTATGATTTATTTAGTGCATATTATTTTATACACTACAGCAGATAATAAATTGCATGGACGTATTTCTTAATGTCAAACTTATGTCTAAATTGTGATCAGAACTAGTCTATAAAATAACACTTATAAATTCTGTAATAATTTTAATAAAAATGCTTGTCGAAGGCACCCTTGTTTTCTAACAATATTAAAAAAATACCCTCAATTTTTGTACTCTATTTACCTATTGTTATTTTTTGCAAGTGGCAATTTTCTTTAAATCTTTACATTTGTTTTTCCATAAAAAACGTGCATAAATATTTGTATATTTTACGCATTATCTTTGTCAATTCTATATTGATTATTAGGATTTTTTTTGGAAGCGTTTATTCTCTCATTGGTTCCATGCTATTTTTAAAATAAATTAAGTCGCTTTTTTATACAACAAAATTTTGAACTGTTTTCAATTTGCTTTTATAATAAAGACAATAATTTTTGCTTTTCTTTCTAAATAACTTTCGTTTCATGTCAATATGGTTAAGCACTTCCCATAAAATATTATAGGAAAATACATTAAAAATTTATAGATCAAGTTTATCGCGCAATTGATCGTTCCGCACTTGACCGCAATGTTTTTTTAGGTCTACGTTCAGTAATGTAAGGTTATATTCTAAATTTTCATCAGCTTTTATTAGTTTT